TTAGGAAAAGTAGGAAGAATAGAAGAAACAGGAATATAGGGAGGAGGTGGGATATGTGATGTTACATTGGGAGGAATGAAATCAATGAGATGAAACAAAATGTGTATGGATTGTTGACTATAAAACTGACGATTTTGTCTGTAAACATTCACCCAATTTATAATAAAAACTTTATTTTTTTTAATTACAACCTTGGAAACCCTATGGGACAGTTTACTTTGTCCTATGTTTTCTCTTTTTGTTAATACCTGTGGCTGTGATCCCAACTGGGAATAAGGTTTTCTCTGTGGTGTTCATGAGACCATAGGGATGTAGGAAGTGTCTTAAACCAGTCACTTTTGAGATAGAAAAGGAACAGATTAAGCACAGATGTGAGGAAGCACCCTTGGGCCAGGCTGGTGCTACGTGGAGATAACAAAGGAATTTTCCCCAGTGTAGGCAGAGGGAGCCTCCCCACAGAGCCGGCACCCTTGATTCAGACTTCCAGTCTCCTAACTGTGAGAAAATCCATTTCTGTTCCTTAAAGCTGTTCCCTTATGGTGTTTCTGTTACAGCAGCTCTAAGAGGCTAAGGGAGGCTGCCGTCTGTGGGTGGCGGTTTGAGACCTGGCTGGAAGCCTTGTGGGAGATGTCCAGGGTGGTGGCCCAGGGCTCAGCCACTAAGTAGAGCACTAAAGTGGGGAAGGAAGAGGTCTGGAGACCTCTGCTATGTAGAGCCAGAGGGTGTGTGTTGGGGCACACGGCAGTATCTTGTCCCTGCTCTGGCTGGGGCTGCCAGTCATGCCTCCAGTGAATACATGGGCCAGGGCTCAGTACAGGTTGGGCTCAGCCTGGGGCCAGTGTGGGTGAGGATCTGGCTCAGGCTTAAGGCAGGGTTTAGGCGGAAGTAGACGCTCCGCCCAGAGTTGAGACTCAGCTGAGGCTAGCATTCAGCCTAGGGGATAGCTCAGCCTCAACTGGGGCTAGGCCAGGGTTGGGGATACCTGAGGCTGGGGCTCAGCCTAAATCTGGGGCTCTGTGAGGTTGGGACTCAGTGTGGTTGAGGCTCAGTCAGAGCTGGGGCTTGGACACAGCTGGGGTTCAGCCTGGGTCATCCAATTAGGGGATTGGACTCAGGTTGGAGTCAGGGTCTCTGCCGGATCAGCTCTGAGCATAGACCAAGAGGTCAGCTACCCATAGGTGCTCAGCAGGGTCCAGGCCATTTCCTTCATGTGGCTACTCGGTACTTCCCTCCCCAGACCTTCAGAGGACCCTGGTCAGACTGTAGCAAAAAACAAAGTGTCCCCAGCTCCAGCTCCTGCTCCATGCTGCTGCCCTCGGGGCCTAGGAAGGAGCAGATGAGCCCCAGCTGTGGAGAAAGCCCACCTGCAACTTCATCTGCACATCCTCTCGAGCCGAGGCCACACTGTCCAAGTGCTTGCTGGCGGACTCGACCTGGCTGCAGTATCTGCCGTAGAGAAGGAACCTGTAGGAAGAGAAATGCCGGTAGCCAGCGCCAAGGTCAGGCAGGACGTACCTCTTCCCAGCTGGGTCACTCGGAGCCTCAGTTTCCACATGTGTAAAATGGGTAGGAAGAGCCCTGGTTTAGGCATTCAGCTGCTAACCACAAGGTTAGTGGGTGGAACCCATCAGTGGCTCTGAAGATGAAAACAGCCGGTGATCTACTTCCATAAAGATGGTGGCAGTGTAGGAAACACCATGGAATTGTTCTTCTCTGTCACATTGGGGTCCTTATGAGTCAGAAAGAACTCAACAGTAGGAAAATAGGTCTAACAACAGCCCCTCCCAAACAGAGTTCTTGTACCCTTAAATGAGACACCCGGCTGGGGGACCATTTCTGCTCAGTGCACATTTCTTTCACAAATACTTATTGAGTGCCTATTGTATGCCAGACCCTGTGCTCATCAGTTTATCTAACACTCACCACATCCCTGGGGGGGTGAGGGGAGGGGAACATTCCTGCCTCACATTCATTTTTTAAAATTTGATTTTTAGTGAACATAGTCGCATCAAAACGTGCTGCCGTCTGAGAATTTGTACGCATTTTGTTCAGGGATGCTGGGTCAGTGTGCTACACATTGTGTGACAGCATTCTCATTATCTCTGCCCCCTCAACTAAGGGGCCCTGGTGGTGCCGTGGGTCAAGCGCTGGACCGCACACTGAAAGGTTGGCGGTTTGAAACCAGCAGCTGCTCCGTGGAAGAAAAGTGTGGCAGTCTGCCTCTGTAAAGATGAGAGCCCTCTGAGGCAGTATTGAGTTGCTATGAGTCGGAATTGACTCTACAGCAGTGAGTTTGGTGGTTTGGTTTGGTGGGCCCCCTAAGCTTCCCATTTGTTGGGAAAGATGATAGTCTTAGCTTTTTGAGCTAAGCTGTTTTTTGTTGTTTAAAGATGATATCAAGGGATGACATCATTTCAAAGTTTGAAGAGTATCCCAGGGTACCAGCTTTGGGGGTTCCTCCAGATTCTCAAAGTCTGGATTCTTTGAGAATTTCAAATTCTGGGTTGGGTTGGGTTGGGTTTGGTTTCTATCAGGATCCATCTGTGGTGAACCCAGTCAAACGTTGTGTGTAGAGCAGCCAGGCGCTCTCGCGTGAGGAGAAGCCGTGGGCCGTGGATACAAACAGTCTCTGGTCCATTTGCTTCCCTGGCTCTTGGATTTCCTTCTTTCTCTGATGCTCCCAACGAAAAAGTGACCAATTTGTATATGTTGGGTGACTGCTAGCAAGTTTTTTTGTTATGTGCGTGTGTGTGTGCGATGTCAGTGATTATTTTATTTTCTTTAACATTTAACAGAAACTATGTACAACAGATTTTGATATATCTTACATAAGACAGCCACTACAGAAATTTACATAGGTTAGAAGCAAAAAGATGGTTAAGGAGTTCCAGTCCAATGACTTATGTTCTCCGATAGATTATACATCAGAGTTTACTGGGAGAAGGGGGCTCAAATTACCTCATTATGTGACAAGCGAGAAAAGGTTAAAACACAGGTTATTGGATAGAGACAACCAGACATTGGATCCATCAGTATTCAAAGATACAGTTCCCACTTAATCACCTACATGGGTTCCTGTTCATGACTTGTTGTCATGTGCTGTGGAGTCGGTTCCGACTCATAGCGACCCTGTACAGGGTTTCTGAGGCTGGAAATCTTTACGGGAGCAGAAAGCCTCATCTTTCTCCTGCTAAACAGATGATAGTTTTGAACTGCTGACTGTGAGGTTCGCAGCCCAGCACATAATCCCCTAAACTACAAGAGCGCTTTCTATGGGATCAAATTGGCAACCGTAGCTTGAAAGGTTACACGGAAAACTTAACAGGTAGGGAGTTATGTGAATAGAGAGGAACGATATGGACAAAGGGGTAAGAATGGACTGTACAACTCAAAGAATATCATCAGGGTTACCAAATCCTACAGTGGAGTCTCTGAGAGCTGGAATTTGAGGGGCCTGTCTTGTTTTTCCAGGTCTCACAGGCTTTCCTTTCTCTGACAAAACTCCACCTTACACAGGTTCCAGCTTCCTCAACGTTTACTGTTCACGGACTATGTGCTGCCGTGTATGGTCTCAACAACAACAACCACACAAAAGACTAAATCATGTCCACTGGTGCTTCAAAAGCTATGTAGAAAAATGGCAATAGAATTTTCCCACCAACTTTTTTAAGCCCCCTCAGACATAGGAAATACATTAAGCTTTGGCTTCTCAAAAATCATAATTTTTTCCCCAATTTCTCAAATAGCTTTTCTATATTATATTGGATTTCTGGTGTGGCGCTGTAGGATCAGCACTGGACTGTGATCCACAAGGTTGGAAGTTCAAAGCCACCAACTGCTCCTCGGAAACCTTATACAGGGTCACTATGGATTAGAACCACCTCAACAGCACTTAACACAACATTCTGCCCTGGTGGCACTGTAGGATAAACACTGGACTGCTAACCACAAGGTCAGAAGTTCAAACCCACTAATCATTCTGTAGGAAAAAGATGAGGCTTTGTACTCCCATAAAGGGTTACAGTCTCGGAAATCCTATACAGGGGTCGCTATGAGGCAGAATTGACTTGATGGTGGTAGATATATTGCTTCTATATTGAAGAATAGAGTGACAAGTGAAACAACATGGTCAAAGCTGAGTGCCTAACTTGATCTTGCAACAAAGCAAAATGCAATTGTGACAAATGGAAAACAAAAGAATAGTATGCAATTTGACTGGGTTGTCCCTCCAGACCAGGACCCTGGTCCTCCATCGTGAGAACACTAGTCCTCGGAGCTGGATGCCACAGTGATCTTTCTGATGAGAAAGCAGGGATCAGAGAGGGTAAGTAACCACCCCAATGACACACAACTCACAAGTGGTAGAGATGGGAACTGAGCCAGAGATGGACAGCCCCTTCCCATGAGCACACAACACACAGTCATCCTCCCTGTCCTGTGGTCCCCGTAGGCAGGGTCTTCGAACACCGAGACTGGGCAGGGGCAGAGTCTCACCTCTCCTTGTACTTGATAAAGACCTGGTAGAGGTTGGGAGCGCTGGGAGCAGCCAGGGTATCCTTCATCTCCTTCAAAAACTGGGTGTGTACACAAAGCAGGTCCTGTTTGGAGTGAGGGATGAAAGCTGGAGGCAGGTGGCTGGGGTCCAGCAGGCTAGATAGGGGAGGGCTCATCTACCCACCTGTTATGCATTGAAAGGTGTACCCCCCCCCAAAAAAAAAAAAGAGTTGGACACATAATCCCTATATCGGGGAAGGGAGTCCTTGGATGCCACAAACCGTTCTAACCAAAATGTTGGACATTTGAACCCAGAGGTGCTGTGGAAGAAAGGCCTGGAAATCTGCTTCCAGAAAGCTTCCAGCCTTGAAAACCCTGTTGAGTGAAATTCTACTCTGATGCAACTCCATGCAGTTGGTTCAATGGCAGTTGGTACCCGGTCCCATTTGAGAATAGAGTTTTCTTTGTCGTGTTAATGAGGCCATGTTTTTGTAGGGTATGATTTAACCCGAGTCACTTCTGAGATAGAAAAATAGCAGATTAAGCACAGATCCCAGCAGGTACTGGGAAGACTACAGCACATGTGAGGATCGTTCTGGAACAAGGACCTTCCCCAAGGGCCAACACACAGAGGAACCATTGCCCTGAATTCAGACTTCGAGCCGCCTAAATGGTGAAAAATAAAACTCTGTTCTTTAAAGCCACCGACTTGTGCTATCTCTGTTGTGGTGACTTGCTGTCGAGTCAATTCTGTCCCATGACAGCCCTGAGTATGTAAAATAAAACTGTGCTCCACAGGGTTTTCAAGGCCTGGAACTTTCAGAAGCAGATCTCCAAGCCTGTCTACAGAAGCACCTCTGAGTGTGTTTGAACAGCCAACCTTTCTGCTTGGAGTCAATCGCTTTACCGTTTGAGCCACCAGGAACTCCAGTCCTTGTGCTAAGACCCTGAGACACCACCAGTGTTGTTAGTTCCCAGCTCCTACACTCCAGGGTCAGATGGGGCTGGTACAAGCTCTAGATAGAGCAGGAGAGTCTCACCTCGATGTTGGTGAAGATGGTCTCAATGTCTTGGGGTTTGAGGAACCTCTGCAGGGGTTTCATGAAGTGCTGCAAGGATGGGGAGAAGGATGAGAGAAAGGGAGGGACCCCCCCACTCCAGCCTAGCCCCTAGGGACAGCGACATGGAAACAGACAGACAGCAACAAGAGACAGAGATAAAGAATGTGGAGAGAGAAAGCGAAAGACAGAGACAAGGAGATAGACTGGCATAATGTATGGAACAAAACTCAAAATTATTATTTTTTTAAAAGACCAGTTTTTCTGGTCAGAAAGAGACTGGAGGAACCTGACACTGTGGTCCTCGACCACCCTTCAGGTCTGGAAAGGAACACACCCTCTTTTAGCAGTAGACAGGTATATAGGGACGCGATCACTATGAATGATACAGAACACTCAATCATTCAAAATCAAAGGAGCAACATGAGGTATCTAAGGACAATGGCAAGGAAGGATGGGCACGTGGATGGGAGGGAAACAGGAGCCCCAGGGAGGAAGCATGTGACTGTTGTTCCACAATCTGATTGCAGGATTGCAGTCATTGAGAGGAAACAAAGCGTATGATTTGTTGAATGTAAAATGGATGGTCTTGTCTGGAAACCTTCAGTCAACTCACAATAAAAAGTAAATAAATAAATAAAAGCATTGGGGGGAAAAGGAGAGAAGGAAACAAAGACAGATAGAGAAATAAAGATGGAGAATGCCCAAACAAATGCTCACCACAACACTATTCACAGAGTGTAAACAGCCCAACTGTCCACCAGAGGGTGAATGGATCCACAGACATGGTACATACAAACAACGGAACATCACGTGGCCATGAAAAAGGAAACAGCATTCCTTTTTTTGTGACATGGATGAACCCTGAAGATATTATGCTGAGTGAAAGAAATCAGACAGAAAAGGAGAGCTATTGAATGATTCCTTCTACTAACAATGTCCAGAACCGGTAAATCCTTAGAGACCGGAAGTAGACTGGTGGTTGCCTAGGGATTCGGACTGCTACTTGGAAACCCTATACAGGGTCGGTAAGAGTAGGAACCAAGTTGACAGCATTTAACAACAACAAGGGATTCTGAGGGTCAGCCAAAAAGAGGAAGACCCTCCCCCCCACCTCCCACCAATGAGATGGATTGGCTCAGTGGCAGCAGCGATGGGCTCAGGCGTGGCAGTGATTGTAAGGTTGGCCCAGAGACGGGGAGTGTCTCATTCTGTTGTGCATGATGCCACTGTGAGTTGGAACCGACTCAATGGCACCTAACAACAACAACAACAACAAGGGATTCCGAGGGAGTCCTGGTACAGGGCTATAAGGCAAACACTGGATCGTTAATCACAAGATTGGTGGTTCAAACCCACCAGCCGCTTCTTGGAAACCCTATATAGGGTTGCTATGAGTCGGAACCAACAATAACAACAGAGATTAGGAGGAACAGAATATGGGGGTCACCACTAATGGGTAAGTGATTTATTTCAGGGACGATGAAAATACCCTGGAGTTAGATAGTGGGGATCGGTTCACCATCTTCATCCTGCGAATATGCTAAAAATAAATAGGCAGTTTGAATCGTACAGTTAATGGGGTGGATTGTATGATACGTGGATTATATCTCAATAAACGCCATTGAAAAGGAGCAAATGGTGAACCGCTCATTGCTAACCAAAAAGCTAGTGGTTCAAACCCACCCAGTGGCTGCACAAGAGAAAGACCTAGTGATCTGCTCCCGTAAAGACTGCTGTTGTTGGGTACCAGAGAGTCAGTCCTAACTCATGCTGTTGTGGTGGTGGTGGTAGTTGGGTGCCATCCAGTCAGTACTGACTCATAGCGACTGTATGTACAACAGAATGAAACAGTCCAGTCCTGGGCCAACCTCACAATCATTGCTACACGTGAGTACATTGCTGCTGCCACTGTGCCACTCCATCTCACTGGGGGTCTTCCTAACTCATTTTGTTGTTGTTAAGCTCCATCGAGTCCGGTCAGACTCATAGCGACCTAGTATACAGTTTCCAAGGAGTGGCTGGTGCATTTGAACCACCAACCTTGTGGCTTATTGTATAGCACCAAACCAGGACTCCTAACTGATGTTGTTATTAAATGCCATCAAATTGGTTCTGACCCATAGAGACCCTGTATAGGGTTTCCAAGGAGCAACTGGTGAACTTGAACCACCAACCTTGCAGTTCAAACTGACTTTGCAATCTAGCGCATTAACCCACAGTGCCACATCAGGACTCTATAAAACAGTGTAGAACTGCCCCATAGGGTTTCCTGGGCTGAAATCTTCATGTGAGCAAATCACCATGCCTTTCTCCCACAATGCCGCTGATGGGTTCAAACTGTTGTCAAGCCAAGTGCTTAACCGTTCTTCTGCCAGGCTTCTTCTCTGGCAGAAAGATGACAGCCTAGAAAACTCTGTGTGGTAGTTTTACTCTGTCACGTGCGACCACAATGCGTCAGAACCAACTCAATGGCACCTAACAACAACAACAACAAAGCTGTTGAGTTGAGTCGTGGAGAGAGGAAAGACAGACGGTGGAGAAAAAGGAGATAAATACAGAGAGACAGACAGCGGTGAGGATGCAGGAACAGGGGAGATGCAGAGGGAGAGATAGACACACTGAAGGAAAAAGGAGGAAAAAAAACAAAGTCACAGGTCAAAGACAGCCCCAGAGACACAAAGGGATGGAGAGCAGAAAGTGGGCCCAGGGCAGACAGACACACTGACACCTGCTGAATGGATCCCAGCGTATCTGTGTACTTCTCCTCAGTTTGCTGGATCTCACGCAGACAGCAACAGCGCTTGTCGTACTCTGTCATCTTGGACTGGGGGCGGAAGGAGAGGCCGGTGTTGGGGCTCCCAGGCTGCACCCCACTCCGACCCCCAGCCCCACACCGGCCCTCCCAGCCCGCTGCTCCACACCGGCATGGCCACGGCTTCTGAGCGCATGAGGTCCTCGTAGATCTCATCCCCCTCAGCTTCCTCGTTCTCCACACAGTCATACAGGTCCTCATCCTCCTCCACTGTGTCACTGTAGAGCACCGAGTCAGGGTGGCCTCGGAGCCCCGGGATCAGGATTGGGGCAGGCCATATCCCCTCATAACCCCGGAGGGTAGTTCATGTTCCCTCAGGGCAGGGGAATCCCAGAGTAGAGCAATGTCCTCTCAGACCCCCAGGACAGGGTGATGTCCTCTCAGAAGCATGGCTGTGTCCACTCTCCCCAAGGCAGGGTAATGTGTCCCTCAAATCCCCAGGTCATATCCCCCTTAGTCCCACAGGACAGGGGCTGTCCCATCCCCACCTCAGACCCTCAGAACAAGACCTGTCACCTCTTCAATCCCACAGGGCAGGGCCTGTCTCCCCCCTCAGGCCCTGCCCCTGCCAGCCACAACACTCACTCAATCTGGTCAGACAGGCCACTGTAGATGTCTTCATCGCCCACACTCTCCTCCTCGGTGGGGAAGGGCCTAGGGGGACATTATGGGGTAAGCCAGGACCTGGTGGTTGTGGGGTGGAGGGGTCTAGGGAAGTAGGGGTAGGATGAGCTCAGAAGTGTACTCACATGATGCCCCTGTTCTGGGCAATCGGGGTCCAGGACAGAGCAGACAGGGTGTAGATGACCTAAGATGGTAACAGACAACCCTTGAGGTGGACCCCAGGACTCCCAGAGCCTAATAGGATGTTCCCCTCCTCTCCTTCTCCCCACATCAGCTCCCCTTTAACTGAGCCCCTACTACCTGCTCCCACTATTGCACTGAACCCTCACTTCCACTCAGAAGTCAGGATGTGGGACCGAGGGTTCAGACAAGCATGACCACATGGCTGAAGCCACAGCCAGTGGAGTAGCAGGGACTTGAACTCCAGTCTGACTCCTCTGTCCTCACGTTCCCCCGCCCCCCACTCCATTCAGTGAAGACATTCATGGAAATGAACTGAAAATCATTCAGGCTTTCTGCACCCAGCTCACAGAAAGCCCACCTTCCCAAAATCCTGCACATCAAACAGGTCAAAGGCCTCGAAGAGCTCACTCCTCTTGAGGCCAAACTTCTCACAGCAGGTAGACAAGAAGGTGCGGATATTCTTAAGACACAGGAACTGTGGAGAGAGAGAGAGAGAGAAATGAGGCTGTGGGAGACATGTAGAGGCAGGGACAAGTGGGCTTCAAGCCTAGCTTGTGGGTTGGCACAGAAGGGAAAGAAAAAACAAAGCATAGTTTGGAGCTTCTAGAAAGATCAAGCTACACCTGAAGTTACGCCTACCCCTGAACTTTTGTTTTTTAATTATTGAGATGTAATTCACATCACATAAAATTAACTGTTAATCATTTTTTTTAAACATCCTTATTTGTCACAAACAAGTACTGAGCTTCTAATTGAAAGTTCGGCAGTGGGAGTTCACCCAGAGACACCTTGTAATGAAGGCCTGGTGACCACCTTCTGAGAAAATCAGCCGCTGAAAACACAACGGGAGCGCAGTTGTCGTGAGTCAGAATCAACTCAATGGCCACTGATTTGAGTTAGAGTTTTGGGTTTGGGTTTTGTTTTTCTCACCATTTTAAAGCATACATTTCAGCGATATTTAGTACATTCACGATGTTATACGCCCTTCATCTCTACGCAGTTCCAAGATATTCTCAACACCCTAACAAACAGCCCCCCTCCACTCGTCTGTCAGTTTGTCGTACTGTGGTGGCTTACATGTTGTGTGATTCTGGAAGCTATGCCACCAGTATTTTAAATACCAGCAGGGTCACCCATGGTGGACAGGTTCCAGCTGAGCTTCCAGACAAAGACAGACTAGGAAGGAGGAGAAATGGAGTACTTATGAATATTTAGTCCCTGAACACCTTATTATGCATAGCAGGGAAACGCTGTCAGATAGTGCCAGAATATTGAATATTGAAACATGATGAAGAGCACCAGAATATTGTCAAATACAGTGTCAGAAATAAGCCCCTCAGGTTAGAAGGCACTAAAAATATGACTTGAAAAGAGCTGCCTTCTCAAAGGGGGTTTACCCATGGTACCTAACACAGTGGGAGTTAAGCTTTCAGAACCTTCATTTGCTGATAGGACACAACTCAAAATGCGGAGAAACATTTTGTAAACATTCATTAATAATTGGGACATGGAATGTACAAAGTATGAATCTAGGGATATTGGGAATTGTCCAAAAATAAAATGGAATACATAAACATCAATATCCCAGGCATTAGTGAGCTGAAATGGACTGGTATTGGACATTTTGAATCTGACAGTCACATGGTTTATTATGCCAGGAAGGACAAATTGAAGAGGAATGATGTCGCATTCATCATCGAAAAGAACATTTCAAGATCTGTCATGAAGTGCAATGCTGTCTGTGATAGGATAATACTCAGATGCTTTCAAGGAAGAGCAGTTCATAAAACAATTATTCAAATTTAAGCACCATCCATTAAAGCCAGTGATGATGAAATTCAAAAATTCTACCAACTTCTTCAGTTTGATATTGGTCAAATATGCTATCAAGGGACTCCTGGTATGGCACTGTAGGATCAGCACTGGACTTCAAACCACAAAGTCAGTGGTTCAAACCCACCAACTGCTCCTCAAACCCATAGCGACCCTATGTACAACTGTTGGATCCTGGGCCAACCTCACAACTGTTGCCATGCTTGAGCCCGTTGATGCTGCCATTTTGCCAATCCATTTCACTGGAGGTCTTCCTCTTTTTATCCAACCATTCACTTTACCAAACATGTTATCCTTCTCCAGTGACTGGTTCCTCCTGAAAATATGTCCAAAGTATAAGAAACGAAGTCTGGCCATCCTGGCCTCCAAGGAGCACTCTGGCTGCACTTCTTCCAACACAGATCTGTTGGTTCTTTTGGCAGTCCATGGTACTTTCAATATTCTCCTCCAACACCATAACTCAAAAGCATCAATTCTTCTATGGTCTTCCTTATTTACTGTCCAGCTTTCACATGCATATGAGGTAATTGAAAATACCATGGCTTGCATCAGGTGCACCCCAGTCCTCAAGCTGACATCTTTGCTGTTGAATGCTTTAAAGAGGTCTTTTGCAGCACATTTGCCTAATGCAATACGTCGTTTGATTTCTTGACGGCTGCTCCCATGAGTATTTGAGGTTGATCTGAGCAAAATGAAGTCATCAACAACTTTGATCTTTTCTCCATTTATATGGATGTTTATTGGTCCAGTGGTGAGGATTTTTGTTTTCTTTACATTGAGGTGCAGCCCATACCGAAGGCTGTGGTCTCTGATCTTCATCAATAAGTATTTTATGTCCTCTTGGCTTTCAGCAAGCACAGTCGTATCACCTGTATATCACAGATTGTCAATGAGTCTTCCTCCATTTATATGAAATACACCGGGAGTTTTCATATTCGTAATCCAAACGGTTCCTCTTCTGTGTAAGTCAGTCTGATTGGGTTGCCATGGCACGTGTTCGAAGGATTTTAACCAATGCAATAGTGGAGCTCATCTGATATAGCGCTGGCTTTTGAGATGTTTGTCAGTTGTCAGTTTGCACAGCACAGGGATTTCTCTAGCTTTGAGACCAGTGGCTCTGATTTTAAAACAAAACCAAACAGGTCCTTTGTCCTTGCATTTATTTATCTAACATCAGCTTCCCAGATATCCCGGTGGGCTCAGCCCTCACTAAGGTCCTCCAGATCATAAACTAATTTAACCATCCCTGTCCCCCAACCTCTCCCAGCACACCTCCCAGCCTCTCCCATGGCCCTAATGCTCCTGGTGAAGGCAGTGTGAACCCAGATTCCTGAAGCAGATTCATCAGCTTGTTGCTGTTAGGTGCCGTTGAATTGGTTCCAAGTCATGGCGGCCCCGTGTACAGTAGAAGGGAATGTTATGAAGTTCAGCACCGCTCTCACAAGCGTTGCTATGTTTGAGCCCATTATTGTTGCTACTATATCAATCCATCTGATTTTCATCACCATAGAACAACTTTTGCTTATTCTACGATCTCATCTTCTTTTTTTCAAGTATCACTTTCTGACGCATTGCTTTTTGCTTATACAAGTTGTTGTTGTTGTTAAGCGCCGTAAAGTCAGTTCCAACTCATAGCAACCCTGTATAGGATACCCAAGGAACTGTTGGTGGGTTTGAACTGCCAACCTCATGATTAGCAGGCAAGTGCTTATCCTACAGTGCCACACCCGGACTCATACAAGTGGACTTTGTATATTAGTTTTGCATTCAACAAACAGTGCTAAATCATTTTGTTCATTCTAGGAATACTTCTTTATATTCTTTTGAATTTTCTATGGCAATCTTATCTTCTGCAAAAATGACCATTATGTCTCATTGGGGGGTGTCTTCCCTGGTTAAAATGCGTCTTCCAAAGCCATCAATCATATGGTTCCATTCATAAGAAATGTCCAGAATAAGCAAAAATCACACAATGGAATATCACTGTCTGAATGCTATAAACAACCCAAGTGTTCTTTAAGGAGTGAACGAATGCATCGGTTAAGTCCGGGAAGTGGTTGCTCAGTGGTAGGATTCTTGCAGCCACCACCCACATGTCTTTCAGTAGAAGTTTGTGTGTTGCAAGGATGCTGAACAAGTTTGAGTAGAACTTTCAGACTAAGATGAATAGGAAGAAATGTCTGGTGATTAACTTCCAAGAATCAGCCAACAAAAAACCCCCTGGATCACAAAGGTCCAATTGCAATCAACTAACAGGTGGAGCAGGATCAGGACTGACTGTGAGGGTCAGAAATGTAAAGGTGGATGTTTTGTAACAAAAGGAGGGGAATGGTTGATTTTGCAGACCGGGAGCAGAGGTCCCTGGGACCCTCAAGTGAGAAGAGCGAAGTGCAGGATCCTACCCAGAGAAGCAGTGATGCCAGAGATGGAGGCAGAGACAATGATGTGGAGAAATGGAGCAGCTGGGGACTCTAGACTCAGGGAAGAAGAGGGGCTGTGTGCTGGTAGTCAGGGGGGGCAGACTTTCGGAGTGTGCCTTTGGTTGTTTGATGATGCATGGAGGAGAGTATAATCATTGCAATGAAACGAAATACAATAGGATGAATGTAAAGCTGGTGTTCTCCCATGTAAATGATCACATAATTTACAATAAAAACTTAAAAAAAAAAATCAATTTGACAGCAACGGATATACATTCAGATAAATAAAGACGAAGAAAAAGTAAAAGTAAAAAAAAAAAAAGGTGGAGCAGGGTGAGGTTGCATTTTAATCTCTATGAATGGGGTCTCCATGAGTCAGAGGGCAACTCCATGGCAGCTAATGACTACAATTCTGCATTGGATTGAAAGTCCAGCCCGCACGTCAGAATGGAAGAGAAAAGTGAAAGAAAGAAATGCATTCATCATATTTTGCAGAACATATGATTGTCACCATGGAAAACTCAAAAGAATATACAGAAAAATTATAAGAATGAATAAAACAATATGGCAATGTTGCTAAATACAAAATAAATAAACAAAGCCTACTGCATGTCAGATTAGAGGCAAAAACCAATCCATCAGAAAATGTTACTTTAAAAATAAATAACATCAGTGAAAATCCTAGAGTAAGCAAAACTAATCTAGATGATAAAAATCGCACCGGTGGTTACTTCTGGGGTGGGGCAATGAAGATTAGATCAGCAAGGCCACAGTGGTAGAAGTTCTCATGTCTTCATGAAGAGTAAATTTGCAAACATATTCAATCTGTATGTGAAGAAAGAATTCAAGAAGCTAGACTATATGAAGACGAATGCGGCATCAAGATTGGAGGAATGCTCATCAACAACCCTAAGGAGCTCTGGTAGTGTAGTGGTTACAAATTGCGCTGCTAACCTCAAGGTCAGCAGTTCAAAACTACCAGCTGTTCCATGGGAGAAAGATGAGGCTTTCTGCACCTGTAAAGATTTACAGCCTCGGAAAACCTGCACAGGGTCGCTGTGGTTGGGAACCGACTCCACGGCACACAACCGCCACCATGATGCAGAAGAATTGTTGCACTTGCTGATGAACATCAAAAATTAGTCCTCAGCTGATTGTGAGGGATGGAAATGTAAAGGTGGACATTTTACAGCAAGGAGGGGAGTGATTAACTTTTCAGTCT